ATTCCGTATTAATAAAAAACTTTTTAAAACTTGTATGCCAAAGTTGTCTTTCTAGCCATAAAGCAATGCATGAAACCAAAAGTTCTAACTAGTTGTCAATAGAGGTTTATGTGCATGTTTGGGTAAGTCATGTTTTGATACTAATTCAGATAACATCCTTTGCTTCCTCTAAAGGCTACTTGTAAAACACATTTTATCTTGCTTCTTTGCATGTCCTATTCATCTTTTATAAATATATATATATATGAAGAATGAATAACTAGAGTACCCATCTATCTTCAATCACCTAACTATTAAAGAAAGACATTTCAAGTCATTTTTTAAGGTTTCAAGAAATGGAAAATGGGCTAAACCAAAGAAGGTAACTATTGATATGTATTCTTTTATTGATTTTCTTATAATGTAAAAACATTAGAATCTTTTAGTCCCTACTAATAACATATTACTTATATCATTTTCTAGAGTGTCATTTTCTAGTCCACAATCCCATAAAGAAACAAGAGATGATGAGTTTGTAACTGCAGTAGCAGCTGCAACATTTTCCATTTACTCATTATTATATTTTATAATTTAATGTTAGAATTTGATTAATATTATGTGTTTTATTAACTAATGAAGTGTTAAATTTGGTTAATGAATTTTTTTAAAAGTATTTGAAATATTGTGAAGTATGATGTGATTAAAGTTATTTAGGATTTTTTTGAACACAAGAAAATCTATGTCACTGTGAATTGTGTTATTGTTACCCTCATTCTTAAAATCTCTTATGCTAAGTGTGTGAAGGGCCTTAGACCCATAGTTTGTTGTACAACCTTTTATAAAATCTTATCTAAAATTTTCACAGCAAGACTCATCAAGGTTATTAATGAGGTGGTGGATATCAACCAATCAACTTTTCTCTCAGGAAGGATTATTCATGATAACATTCTGATGGCTTGTGAGTTATTGAGGGGTTACAACAGGAAGCATATCTCCTCTAGATGCGTTATTCAAATGGATATTATGAAAGCTTATGACACCGTTGAGTGGAGTGCTTTGGCTCTATAATGAAATAGATGGATTTTCTTGATATTTTCATTGATTAGATCATGAAATGTGTTGGTACTGCGTCTTATAGATATTCAATTAATGGTCAGATTTCAGAGCATTTGAAAGCTAGGAGGGGCTTAAGGAAGGGAGACCCAATATCTACTCTGCTTTTTGTACTTGTTATAGAATATGTTCAAAAAAGTTTAACAAGATTGCAGCATATCCAAAATTTTAATTTCCATCCCAGTTGTGAGAAGTTGTGCATCACTCATATCAGTTTCACAAATGATCTCATTATGTTTACAAGAGGATATTCTATTTCTGTTAGCATTATGATGAAGATCTTCAATAACTTTTCTCAAGCTATGGGTCTAAAAGCTCACCCAACTAAGTACAAAGTTTTCTTTTGGAGGAACGCATCAAATTGTTAAACAGGAAATTTTGGACTCAACAAGCTTTATTGAAGGGGAATTACCTTTTAAATATTTAGGTGTTCCTTTGGCGAGTAGGAAGCTTACTATTCATCAATGCTAGCCTTTGATCGATAAAGTTACATCGTATAAAGCATTGGTCAGCTAGGCTCCTGAGTTATGCTGGGAGATGCCAGCTGATAAAAAGTGTCATTTTTACTATGACTGCCTATTGGTTATAGGTCTCGGGACGTGGTTTTCTTTGGAGTGGTTCAGAGACAGTGAATGGGAAAACCCCTATTGCTTGGGACGTGGTTTGTAAGCCTAAGTCTGCAGGTGGATTGAATGTAATTAACTTGCATAGTTGGAATCAAGCAACTCTAGGGAAGCTTCTGTGGAATATTCATATGAAAGCATATCATATTTGGATAAAATGGCTTGATACTTTCTATTTCAAAGGGCATGAAGTTCTGAATTGACAGACCTTGCCTTCTAGTTCTTGGATTTTAAAGAAAATCCTTAAGAACAAAGATTTGATGAGAAATTGCGTATATTGGGACAAAGCTATGGATGTTGGCAGATATAAAACAAGTTCAATGTACAAAGCAATTAGTGGGAATTTTGTTCTTGTGAGATGGAAAATAATTCTTTTTGATAATCATGCTAGACCTAAATCTTATTTCACTCTTTGGATGGCATTGATGAACCGACTCCCTATAAAGGACAGACTTTTGAGATTCGGCAGCATTGCGAAGAAAAATTGTTGTTACTGTAACTATGAGAATAACTTGCAACATATCTTTTTTAGCTGCAACCATACAAAGCATATTTGGAATGAAATTTCGAGATGGTTAAAAGTATTACACACTCCACATGAATGGGATCAGGAAATCTTATGGTTCACTAACAGGGTTAAAAGAAAAAACCTTCACGTGTGTTTTATGAAGATGGCTTTGGCTAAAACTGTTCAAGAAGTATGGTTTGCTAGGAATAACTTTATCTTTAACGATAATCATGAGGATGGAAACATTATAGGTAGAATCAAATAACTTTATCTTCCCAGACTTTTTTTACCGGATCCGTACTAAGTGTTGCCTTTGACATTTTTACTATCGATGACTGACAATATATGAATGTCTATTAACGATTAATCACACACAAATCATCTAAAAGAGGGAAAAACACAAATGAACACCAACAACTTAAGTACTTGTGAATTTTAAGCTAGTATACACCTAAAATTAGGACCCGTAAATCCAACTTCATTTTCCTAACCCTCTAACATACCCTTAATTAGGAACAATCATGTAGAACATTTCACAAACAGTTAATATGCAATATCTAAAACTAAGAAAAATGAGTAAGAATTCTTACCTTAAACCAAAGAAATGGAAAAAGTGAAATGAACTTTTAGATCTTTCCTCTAACAAGTAACAGCCAACCTTCAAAATCCCTTGGGTTTCGTTCTTGCTAACTGTTGAAGGGTTTTGTAATAACAAGAAACTTTGAGAACGAAACCCTAATTAATGTAATAAAGTAAAGTAGTTAGAGTGGGTGATGATGAATCAATGTTGAGATGAAATTGAATGGGAAAGAAACAATTGGGTTTCGTTTTCTGTAATGAAGAAATGAAGAAATGAAAGTGAGGACGACGAAGGATGAAGAGAGCTTGAATAGGAGCAGACGAATGGAGAAGAAGATGAACAACTGGGTTTCGTTTTCTGTAATGAAGAAATGAAGAAATGAAGAAGCTCTGAACGAAAGAAATGAAGAAGATTTTGGGATTTTTAATTTTATTATAAAAACAACCTACGAAAGCGCTTTTAAAAAGCGCTGGCATAGGTCCCCCTTTCAAAGCGCTTCTGAGGTAAAAAGCGCTTTCGTAGGTCCCCCTTTCAAAGCGCTTTTCAAAAGCGCTGCATAGGGTTCCCTACCAAAGCGCTTTTCAAAAGCGCTTTCGTAGGTTAGATATTTCAAATACCTATGAAAGCGCTTTCTGAAAAGCGCTTTGGTAGGGAACCCTATGCCAGCGCTTTTAAAAAAGCGCCTTCGTAGGTTTCCCTTTTTTTTAATTTTGTTTTTTGTGAAGGCTATGGCAGCGCTTTTTCAATAAGCGCTTTAGTAGAGGCGCTGCTAAAACTTGTTTTTGGCGTAGTGTATTTTTCACAAAAATCTTATTTTTTATAATCAACATAGTAATTAAAAATGTTTTTAATGATGTTTATTTTGTACAAATTCAAATAATGAATCTTTAAAAGCTAACAAAATTTGTTTTTTCAAAAAAAAAATCAATCAAGATTTGATTAGAAAAATGAAACCCAATTTTTATCTTTGTATTACGATAACAAAATACTTATAAAAAAATGTAAAATAAAAAGTCTAAAATATTTTTTATATTATAGAAACTAGATTTAAATAGTCTTTGGTCTCTGTAAGTTAGCGTGTTTTTTATTTTAATCCTAAAATTTTATTTTATTTTTACAAGTTGTGATATGTCATTTTCTTGTTGATATTGGTCTATGCCGTCCAACTTCCATTATAAAAATGTAAATGTAAAAATTTTCAAAATCGGTATATACCTTTAATACCTCTCTATTGAAAGTAATTCTTTGTGTCGAAGCAGTTTGCTCGACAGAGACATCACTACGCCAAATAAGCTATTTAATAGCGCTTTTTTTTTTAATAGCGCTTAAAAGTGCTATTAACCGCGCCACTATTGTAAATATTTCTTATTTAATAGCACTTTAAAAGCGCTATTAAAGTACCAATTTATAATAGCGTTTTAATTAAAGTGCTATCAAAGTCAGTATTTTGCATGTTTTTTGTTTGTTTTTTTATAGCACTCTAAACAAAAAGCGCTAATATATAACATATGTTTGATAGCGCTTTCAAATAAAGTGCTAATAAATGGTACATATTTGGTACAATATTTTTAATAAGTACAGTACAATATTTTTTCTTACACAATCATTTTTTTTGGTGTAAATATAAAATAACTATATTCAATTCAACACAAATAACGCTTTAAGTTACTCATTGCATATATATTATGATCCATCAAATACCAAATAACATTTTAAATTACCAAATCCTATTGTTTCCAAATATCATAACATATAGAAGGCCATTGTTATTGTCAACCCACTTTATTAAGATCGACCTTCATGAACCCAGGGTCAACTTGAAGGCCATTGTTATTGTCAACCCACTTGCAACCAAACACGGGCACTTGAAAGCTTGAGTAATCCAATTCCCAAATACGTTCAATGACCCCAAAATATGACAATTTGGAAAATGCGGGATTTCTATTTTTGGAACTTGAGATATGCACAGATTCAGCTACGAGTGTGACACCGCTATTTTGCACAGTGCTTTGATGATCATGTTCTTCTGTATAAAATGTATACTTGTTAATTATATAACCAGAGTACGATAGAACATTTGAATTTGGACCATTTGCTAGCCATCTCAATCTTTCTGAAATTGAATCAGGATTTTTAGCAAATTCTGAAAAAATGTGTTCTTTTAGCCACGGTATAAAACTTCGATTGTGTTCTCTTGTTAAGGCTTGTCCCTACTCCTATCCCAATAGAAAGGTTTGTACTTGTCACGAGATAGCTTTCCACTGAATGATGACTCTAATGAATCTTCTAAGAGGGCACCGCTGTAATGATGCTGTCTCTGCAGTGGCTCTGACCAAATGCGACCACTTCTATTTCCGACATCATAGCCCGGAGTTGAAATGTAATTTGTGTCCATCACCATGTCTCCCTCTAGAATTCGGAGAACCTTGAATAAACAACCAAGTGTAGTTAGCATATTATATCGTAAATTTATTAGTCATTCATTGACAGCATATAAATGTTTTACACAAACATCTACAATGTGAGATATGATTCCGTGAAAAAATTTACACCGAGTGCATGATTGTAAATTTTTTATATTATTAGAAATATCCGCTCTAAAAAAGTTACTAAAGTGGAAGTTGTCCAATTCTTAATTATCGTGAACTTTTCCATTGACTCTGTAGGATGTCTGTCTTATCTTTTTAGGAAAATTTGAAAAAGCTATGCAACCATTTATTCTTGAAAACAAACAATGTGGTGACAAAAAAAAAGAAGATAGGTTGAGATCTTTGTTTACCTGTGACATGCGTGGTCTACAATGAGGATCTCTCCTTATGCATAATGAAGCAGCATGCAACATGCAATAGACTTCATGTTCTAAATAGAGACGTCCAAGTCTCGGGTCAATCAGTTCGTCAATGGCATATTCTTCTAACAGTGGCCGGGCCTGTTTAATGTTAAAATATTTATACAATTATTCAAGGTTAAGCATGAACATTAACGGCATACTTAGGTTATTTATCCAAAGAGAACCTATATCACACTGAAATCTTAACTTACCCACTCAGTTAGGCACTGTTGTCCCTTTGGCCGAGTGAGATCGATAGCTTTTCTACCGGTAACAAGCTCCACCAATACCACCCCAAAGGAATAAACATCGGCTTTTTCGGTGATTTGGCCGCTTTGAGCATATTCAGGAGCCAAATACCTACACATACAACAGCTTAGTTACAATCTAAGAAGCATGATAATACAACATGACACAGACATGCTATAAGTTATAGGACATATCACAGTTACAAAACAGAACATAAAATTAGTATATCTCACAGAGCACTTATCAAGTGTAAAAACTGATATACTAAATTAAAAATGAATGATTATAGACAAAAGTTAGACAACACTACATTCTTGGTTTTAATCTCCTATCGCATACACATGTTTGACAATGAAACAATGAAACAGAATCAAGATCAATATAAAGCGTACCCAAATGTTCCAATTACTCTAGTATCCACACCCATGTCTCCATCAGGTTGCCACCTTGCCAATCCAAAATCACCAACCTTGCATATTTCAGCACAATTCAATACAGTTAGAATTTGAAATGTGCAAAGAACTATGCAATAATGAAGTAATGATAATGGTGTCTTTTGTTGTAAGAAATGAAGGCAAAGAACTACCCTACCAGAGGTTCAAAATCATGAGTTATGAGAATGTTGTTCGGCCTCATGTCGCGGTGGATGATACAACCAACTCTGCACTCTTCGTGAAGATACCTTAACCCGCGAGCAGCTCCAACAGCAATTTTCTGCCTCGCAGACCATTCTAATGGATCTCTTTGTCTCCCTGAAATATTACAAAGTATTAGATCAATATAGAATCAAAATGGTATCAGTTCCATGAATTCAATATTATATTGCAACTACCATATAAATGTGAATCCAATGATCCATTGCATATGTACTCGTAAACCAGAAGCCTTCTCTTATCCTCTATACAGAATCCAATCAGCATAACAACATTTCGGTGCTGAGCACAGCTCAGGACTTCTACTTCAGAGCAAAACTCGACATCACCTTGAGAACTAGCCAATTTATGTTGCTTGACAGCAATGACTTGTCCTTCTGGTAGAACCCCTCGATGAACCGATCCATACCCTCCTTCTGCCAAGAAGTTGGCTTGTGAAAATCCCCCGGTAGCGAGTTCCAACTCAGCATAGCTGAACCACCTTGGAGGTTTTCCAAAAACAGGTGCCTTGTGTTGACATATCGAACACAATGGAGGTGGACCAAGTGGAGCATTTCCTGATAATGCTATCGCTTCTCTTAAATTACCACTAAAATCCGAGTCATTTGTATATGCTGCCGACATTTCCATTCCAGCTCCTCTATCAAGCCTAGAATACTTTTCTAGCAAAGCCTTGGTTGTAGTTGCCTGAGGCATACCATGATACGCCTCTGATCTTTCTCCGTTGCGTTGAGATGATTGTTGATGTAAAAGCAATTCTGTGATCCACGGTTGGTATCTAAAGCTAGCCGAAGATGTCAACAGACTTTCACTTTCTGTGTCTGATGTATCACAAAGTTCATGACTTTCCTTAATGGTTTCTTCTCTCTTCGTCTCACCATTCATCTCTGGAATACAGAACGGTGAAGTTCCAGGATCTGAGCTTGAAGCTGATGAAGTACCGGCTTCAGTAGTAGCGGTGAATGGCGTCCCTAGCTCGGGGCTGCTAGTCGGAGTAACATTCGGTCCTTTGATAGAATCTACTACAGAATCCATCTTGTTTTCGGACTGTTTTTCAGGTATATCACCTTGCTCAGAAGGTGATGTACCAGCTTCTTCAACTTCCTTCTTTTGTGCTCCAATCAAGTTCAAACGAAGCACTTTCGGTTGAGTACGCTTCATAACAACAATGTTACACTGCAACTCTTCCATGCATCTCTTTTCCTCATGTTTGAGATGTCTGCAAAAAAGCAACATCAAATTCCAACATATCAATAACTGGATTATAGTTACAATCTATGAAGCAAAGACACGACTCAGACAATGACACGTATACAATAGTGTGATTCTTAATGAGGAAAAGATAAGAGAGATTATTACTTGTCTAAAACAACCCAACTGGCTTGTCCTTTCTTGGCTTCTGCGGCCACTGATCCGCAAGGTGATCCAGAAATAATTTTAATCCTGACATTTATCTGTTTGAAAAGGTTTAACATAAGGATTAATATCTTCAAAATTCAAATTGCATGAACCTTTTACACGCCAAAACCAAGGGTACTAGAACTAACCTTATTCGGATCATAGACATCGTGGAGCTGAAGTATCATCTGAGAGCAAGAATCAGTGATATCACTCTTGTGCTCTAAAATTGTTCCTGGAGGATACTTCTTCATACCACTGGCACAGTCACCAGAAAATCTAGGAAAACCCCATCTTCTACCTGCAGGTAGAAAAAACATGGGGGTTTAATTTGGATACACTGATAATGTAAAATAGTTTTACACAGACAATAAGTAACAAGAAAAAGAAGCACATCAATAACCATCTCATCTCTCACCATTCAGGCACACATCAATAACACAAGCCTTATCACTCAAATTTCATGAACCCTCACAACTGCAACTTAACCTCACAAACCCTCATTACAGCTACTCAAAATCACGAATATCCGTCAACACAAAGACATCATAACGCTCACAAACAACACAGAGAATCAACGGATAGCAGAAACTGAAAAAAGAAATATTACCGGATACAAATGAAGAGAGGGATGACGACGACGTAGGTGAGATGACAAAGGGTTGAGTTCGACAGAGAATGAGATTTGGTTGTTATTTCTTTTCGGTGTTTCCTCCTTCTGTTTGAGTGTCGTTTGAGAAGTGAATCTGAATCTGAATCGATGGTGAATCCGATGGCTGAAGAATGGATCCGGGTGAAAACCTAAGGAAGGGATGACGGTGGTAAATCAATGACTAACGGCGGTGAATCAATGAAAACCGATGAAACAATAGAGGTTCAAAAAGCAATTCATTATAGTAAAACAAAATGCAAGTACAGAAATTTGCAGCTTCATCCCACAATAGAATAACCAGAGTAAAAGTTCAGATTCACCAAGGGCACAAAAACAAATATCAATTGTCAAGCCCAATAGCAAATTCAATCAGAGGCCTGTTAACCAAAAACTCAGTCCAAGAATACAAGGAAAACCCTAATTCTCTATCAGTATATAAGCATCAATTACACAATTCCCAAGGGGGAGATACTGTTCACATTCATAAAAAACAACCACAACCAAGAACACAAAGAGAAAACCCTAATTTCTCATCATATTCCAAGAACACTACCCCTTCAGAAAGTGGTGAGGGAGAAAAAACCACAAAAATTTGTTCAGAAAACTCAGAGAATAAAGAGAACCAAAACTCACCTTGAGGATTCTTCCTTCGTCGAGAAGAATCACCAAAAACCTCCAACAAAGCTTCTCTTTGCACTTCTTTGAGTGTTGCAGGATTCACTCTTCAGCTTCTTGGATGCTCACCATCATTCAACTTTCGACACCATCTTCTCTCAACCTACAACAATCATCGCTATCATCATCAACAACTCACTTCGACCTTCAATATCTGCTTCACGTTTCAACACCATCTTCGACGAACAACAAATCCAAGCACACCTACAACATCAACACCGTGGCATCAATGTATCACAACCACGATTCAAAGAAGCACAAAAAAATGTAGAAGACGGAGAATATTCATAACGAGATTTACCTTTGCTATTCTCTGATGTTCATCGTCATCTATGTCGAAATGGAAGCAGAGGAAGATTTGACGGCGGTGAATCAGTTGGGAGAATCAATGGCTAAGAAGGAAGCAGAGGAAGATAATGTTTTTGGGAGAATCAATGGTAGTGTTTTTGTTTTTGGCGGTGAGTGGATGCGGGAAACCCAATTTTCTGAAAATGTGTTTTGTTTTTTTTTTATCAATTAATTAATTCATTCATTATTATATATAACATAGCGCTTTTTAATAAATGCTATTATATATGTAGTCAAATAATAGCGTTTTATACAAAATGCTATCTTAAAGAAGTTTAATAATAGCGTTCTGGTACAAAGTGCTATCATAATTACATAGTCTGTATTATATAATAGCGCCCGATTAAAAAGTGCTATTATAAATGTGTTTTTTCCATTTTAATAGCATTTTTTTTAAAAGTGCTATTAAATTAGGTGATACAAAAAATCATTTTTGGCGTAGTGCATGGAAATGTGGAAAAGATTTGATTTGATTTAAAGACGTGAAAACAGTTTGTTACACACAGATTTAATTTAATTTTAGATTTAGAGAGATTTGATTTTGTTCCAAAATAGATATTTTTGGCTTTCATAGCTTTGGGTTTTGGCATAGGGAGCAAGCTAATCTAAATTTGTAAATAGAGGGAGTAACCCCCATTTTTGTAATCAAGTCAATCAAGTTGTATTCACAGAATTTACAGTTGCAACTGAATAACAAAGTTTTCCACAGTTTGTGGGCAGAGAGAAACTCTGCAGAAAAATATTTTCTTTCTTCATCTTTTATTTTTTCATTGTTGTTGTGTGGTGATATCAATCTTATTCATCAAGATTTATAGAAATTCATCATATGTTTTGGTGGATTTCCAATATCTGATATCAAGAGCTCCGGTTGAGTGATTCAGGGAAAGAACGATCAAGAACGATTGAGGAAGAAGAAGAAGAAATTCACGATGGCGATGAATTACGCTAACAGAAATTTTATAGTAAGTCTTCCAGTTCGTAAAGGTGATAAACTAACACAAGCCATCAAATGAAATTCCAAAACCATCAGAATTTTAAGAAAAAATCACATCACCTTTCTTCATTGATTATTTTTATTGGAGATTAACTTGTGGGTATACTAATGCTACTTATCAAAGACAGTACAAGAGCTAATTCATCTCATTAACATTAAAAATAAACACCAATTTTCTATTATTTTATAAACAAATTAATACGAAAACATTCAAATAATTAGGAAAAGAAGACCTAGATCATAATCAACTTCATACACATCCAAAATAGCACCAAAACACAGATTTCACAGCACAAAACACACAAAAATATTATCCAGGGCAGTATTAATAAAAAAATATTACCTTGATAAAAATTCTGGAAATTTGTTATTAATTGTTAGTCGTTTATGATTTCTTCAACTTTTTCATCAAAATCTTGGATCAAAAAAGCGTCATAACAAACATGAAATAGAAATATATATTAAAAATAATGTGCCTTTGGTGGAAGTTAGATGGAGTTGAATTTGATTAAGTGAAAAACCTAGACACGGCATAAACAACATTAGAGGAAGACAACCTAATGAAGATGGAGAAAACCATTATGACGACATAAGGCGTCGACATTCACTACTGCGCAAGAGGTATACCTATTAACAATGGAATAAGAATCAGAGAGAGGCTCTGTAAAAGACTATGGATGAAGGCAAGCGCGAGCGTGCGCTAGGGCGGGTGAGCGAACAAACATGCTATAAAGATCAGGATATGAAAAAGCGGCAAAGATTCTTAGAAGTTAAGGATATGGCCGATGGATGAAGAAGAATGGAAGTGGGTGCAAAATGAAGAACGACAAATTAGAGAAATTATGGTTGAGGTATTGTTTTTATCATATTAGAAAAATAAAAAAATTAAATAAATGGAGAAGTTGGACAAAATAATGAGTTTAGAATTTGTAAAAAAACAGAGAGAATTAAAAAAAATTAAAATAAGGATTGAATACGGTTAAATAGAGGATGAAAAACCAAAAAGAGAACGTTATTATGTAAATTGAATTTATTTTTAAAAGTTAAGTTGATAACGGAGTTTAAAACTGACATTTTATGATTAACATTACAGTGTTTCCAAGATACGTCATAACGTACCCAAAAAATGGAGGTTTTCATAAATGTCGTAATAAAACGGCCATAATTTACGCGTTTTTTATAGTGATGTGAGGATTGGATTGGTGATGAGTTCATGTCGTTTGTGATTCATCGGTAGAGATAGATGTGTTATCCCTTCATTTTGTTTGCCATCTGGACTCCACTTATCCACCTCATCAAGTAAACTGCCACCTGGATGCAGTTTTTGGACTTTAATTAACGGTTCACTAACAGAAAGACTAATGTGGTAATGTTTTGAAAATTAAAGAAACAAAGTGACACGAAAAAAAATTAAGAGAGCAAAGTGAACCAGAGGATATAGTTAAGGGACCAAAACAGATATTTTCCCTGAAAACAAAAAGTAAAATATTCATATTCATGTCCAACAACATTAATTTAACAAGGAATAAAATTACAAACCAAAATAAATATCTACATGACGTATTCATTCTATTAAAAACAACGTTAAAAAATTTGAGCAGAAGAAACCAACTCCAACGAAATGATTTCTCTTTTCATGTAGGATGCACTCTGATTTTAAATTCCATTAGTGGAACTAGGACTAAGTACACGTTGTAATAATAATTTGGTTCATTTCCACGGCAACTAAAAATACAAATTGGTCCCGACAGTTGAATTATGGATTAATATTTAATATTTCTTAATTTATTTATTATTCATTTTGAATATTATTGGTTTTCAATATTAATAAAATAGTTATTGGTTAATATTTAATATTTCTTAATTCATTTTTTGTATAGATTTTTATAATACAACAATAATCCTAATTTGTTATCCTTAAAACCATGAAGGCAAATTAAATTTTTTAAAACGATGTGATAAATCCTAATTTGCTTAAAAGACATTAAATATTCATCCAAAACCATAACATAAACAAAAAGTAAAATATTCATATTCATGTCCAACAATATTAATTTAACAAGGAATAAAATTACAAACCAAAATAAATATCTACCTGACGTATTCATTCTATTAAAAACAACGTTAAAAAATTTGAGCAGAAGAAACCAACTCCAACAAAATGATTTCTCTTTTTATGTAGGATGCACTCTGATTTTAAATTCCATTAGTGGAACTAGGACTAAGTACACGTTGTTTGGTTCATTTCAACGGCAACTAAAAATATAAATTGGTGCCAACAGTTGAATTATGGATTAATATTTAATACTTCTTAATTTATTTATTATTCATTTTGAATATTATTGGTTTTCAATATTAATAAAATAGTTATTGGTTAATATTTTATATTTTTTAATTCATTTTTTTGTATAGATTTTTATAATACAACAATAATCCTAATTTGTTATCCTTAAAACCATGAAGGCAAATTAAATTTTTTAAAACGATGTGATAAATCCTAATTTGCTTAAAAGACGGTAAATATGCATCCAAAACCATAAGATAAACAAACCATATTTAATTAAAAAATGAAAAATACATATAAAGAAAAAACCATATGAATTAAGCTCAATATATATATATATATATATATATATATATATATATATATATATATATATATATATATATATATATATATATATATATATATATATTTTCATTTTAAATGTATTTTTTCACTTTGAATAAACTATAAACTTCCATTATGTATATAACATCCAATGAATTTGAGCTTAATTCATATGGTTTTTCTTTTTAATGTATTTTTCATTATATATATATATATATATATATATATATATATATATATATATTACAATTTCTTTATTTATCATCTATATTTATATTTTCCTAGAATACAAAAACAAGTACAACCTTTGTTAAGTAGTATCTGTGAAAAAAAATTACATTTCAAACAAGTTTGATTAAATAAATAAATATATACTAATTATCATACATTTTAAACTATATATATATATATATATATATATATATATA